CAACAATAACTTCCAAATGCAATTTTTTTTACATTTTAGCAGTTACAACCCAATTTTTTTTCCTTTTATTCTCATAGATTTATGTCTCAAACTTTGTGTAAATAATTGACGTGTCTATATTAGTTGAAGAAAAACGTCTACATTAAAAACAACAATTATCTCAGTACTTTCAATTTCTAGATTCATCGTTGTATCTTAAGAATAAGACGAAGATAATGAGTATGATTATCAGTAACAAAACTTGTTTTCTTTATTTCAGTCAGTTCTTTTTATTTGCATTGAAGTTAGTAATAAGTTGCATTGAAATTAGTGGTTTTGGAACCAACAACCAAAAGGCTACTTCTGTCATTTAGCAGTATCATGCCACATTCGTGCAAAAAAAGTTTCTTAAATTCTTCTTAACCCCCCCAACTCCATCTCTCAAATTGAGGATTCTTGACTACTTTTACTTGACTACTATTACTTAAAGTTGAAGTCTTGATTGTAAAGATGATGGAAAATATTGAGAAGAAAATTGATGCAGAACCAGTGATTGAGGATTTTGAGGTGATGACAAAAGATGCTGAGAGGATTCAAGAAGATACACTTGAAAAAATTCTGGAAAAAAATGGGGGAACAGAGTATTTGAAGCAATGGGGTCTGAATAGGGCTGGCATAGGGACGTGGAAGGGGACTGGGGGACACGACGAAGGGGGACAGCATGGGATGGGGGTCGGTGAAGGGAGATTTGGATCGGGACCGAGATTGGGGGGACAGAAATAGGTCCTATCCCGTCCCACTATATATACGGGATGAGATGGTATTTAGGGGGATGGGACGGGACGGGGAATTTTTTAATTTTTTAAATACTTATTTATTTGTATTGAAATAATATGTTTTTAGCTAATAAAATTTAAATTTAACTTTTAACTTTCAAAGTTCAAATTAAATTTTCAAATTTCAAATTTCAAATTTCAACTTTCAATTTTCAAATTTCAAGCTTCGTGTTTCAAATTTCAAATTTCAACTTTAAAGTTTTAAATTTCAAATTTGTGAATTTTAAATTTGTATTTTAAATATTTGAAGTAATGTAAACTTGAAATTTCAAATGTCAAGTTTTACAAGTTTTAAATTAAGTATTTTAAAGTTAGTTTAGTACTTTAGTATATATTTAATTGTATATATTAAAATTAAAGTGCAAGACAATAATTGTATAAAAGAAACTTGAATAAAATCTTCAAATTTATTCAATAGAACTTAGAAGTTACAATTAACAAATATTAGTGGAGTAACAAATCTACGCAGTCACCTTCTAGGAAGGGTTCTGTTTCAATAAGTTCTCATACGTAAAACTAATATTTGTTACAGATATTAGATGAGTAAATAATATTACGCAGTCACCTTCTATGTAGGGTTCTGTTTCAATTAGTTCTCATATGTAATCTTATAATATTTGTTTTCTCCTTTAAAATTCAATTTTAATTGTTGCATCATATCGATGGTGATATCCTTCGGTGTTGGAAAACTTGATAGAAACTCTTGTGACTCTAATTCATCATCATTGCATTCAATTTGCGTTTTGATCCAACTTGCTTGTTTGGAACTTAACTTTGGCAAATTATTATTCCTCTTATCGGCATTGACCTAGTCTCTAAATAAAACTGTTGTTTCCAAATTGTATTCCACCAATGAATGTCTATGATCATCAATTTGAAACCTTGCCGCACTGAAAAAGCAGCCTATGATGCAACTGATGAAGCTTGGATAGCTAGAACATCACGAACCATTTTGCTCAAAGTTAGAAATGCAACGCTTCGCCTACTCCACCATCCTAATAAATCTTCGTTGCCTCTTTAATTTCCAATGCTTATAAAGATTGAATAAGATATTCTTCAAAATCATTACGGTTAGTAGAATTAAGACCAAGAACACCTCGCATATAAGTTGAAATTCGAATTTCAAAATCAATCTAAGGATTAGAAGTTTGACCAACTTCTCCTTGAATATTTCGTAGTTCTATATTTTTCATATAACATTTTTGCTTGTATTTTATGAAAGACTTACACGTTTCACAATTTCAAATTTGTTCCCGTAAAATTTCTAAAGTCCTGCACACCTCGTAATTTATAATCAAGATGAAGTAAAGTAGCAGTTAAATAAATTTGAGGAATAGGAAAAAATATTTTTTAAACTTTTTAATCATACCTTCAATTGCAACTCTAAATTTATCTATTTTTTTATATTTAGAAAATTGAATTGTAAGAGCACAAATATTTATTAATACTGATGAAATAGTAGGATAATAAATTTCAGAAAACATGATTGTAGCTACATAAAAAAAGTCTTAAAAATTCTAATAGTTCTTTAGTTTCTTCCCAATCTTCATCACAAATCCTATTTAATGGATCATCATTATGAGTATTAAACACCATTTGTATGGGTCTTCTATATTTGTAAGCAACTAAAAGCATTTCGTAACAAGAATTTCACCTTGTTTTAATATGTCTTGGAATTTTCTTAGGTGACAATTCAAATAGTAAACAACGCTCATTAAATTCCCTAATTCTAGCAGCATTGTTAGTTTGAAAAATTCAGGCAACGGCATATTCCATTTTTGTGCAACCACAATCAAAAAATGAAATACCATCTTGTACAACTAAATTTAATATATGTGCAACACATCTAACATGAAAAGAATTATTGTCAATTGGACATGATCTAACTTCTAACATCTTAGCAGCGTTTGTATTATTAGATGCATTATCTAATGCGACAAACATTACTTTATCTATAACCATGTAATAATCTAAAACACTTAAAATATTTGACGTTACATATGCACCAGTTTTTTTTCTCTATACATAGTTTATAACTTAATATTCTTTTTTGTAAATTCCAATTATGATCAATCCAATGAGCTATAATAGTTAATTAATTATTTTCAGTAACACTATGACTCATGTCCGCAGTTATAGACACTCTACTATCTAATATGCTAAATATACAGCGAAGAAATTGACAATGTTTACCTTGAAATTCAAAAACATCAGATTTAACAGTATTTCTTGAAAAATCTCTAAAATTCGGATTATAAGTTTGTTAAATATATTCAATAAAATCGGGATTTGAAGGAAAACTATAAGCAAACCACAAACAGAGACCAGTTTAGCTAAATTTTCGCGATCTAATTCCTTATTATATTTATAATGTGTTAGTGGACTACCGGGGTTAGAAGGATCTAATGTTCCTTGAACCATGTTAGAAGCCCCTACCAATACATTACCGGTAATATCGAATTCATCAATTGGAATTCCTTTTTTTCTAATGAAAGCTAAAAGGAAACCACTGAGCAAGAGAAGAACAAAAGGGAGGACAAGTACTCTATGTTGCAACTCTACAAAAAATCACTTTTTTGTTATTATTTTTGTATTTTATTTGATTTACAAAACATCATACTTAGCATTTACAAAAATCAGAGTATGCAAAGGTCTTCGCTGCTAACAAGAGTACAAAAAAGTATGCACTACTAACCAGAGTAGGCAAAGAACTAACAAGAGTAACAAAAAGTCTGCACTACCAACCAGAGAAGGCAAAGAACTGCATCAGAAACCGTAACTCATGTACTTTGATGATAATTTTTTTACCTCTAACGAGCATCATAATTGACTTGTTCACAAAACCTTTCATTTGAAACCTTGAAATAGATAGTCTACTTCAATCAGGGCACAACCAATAATGTATTATTTCAACAACAAAAAAAAATACACAGAGAACTAATTTTCTGTCATACATACAAAATTTGAAATATTGTTTAATAATCAGAACAAAACAAGCAAAGGTCAAAATTTAGAATAACAAATGTTGCGAAAGAGTATAACAAGAAAAGTTGAACCGCAATTGAATCTCAATTTTAAACTGTACCCTTCAAAAACTAACTACATATATCTGTACAACTTCAAGATAATAACCACTATTTTGATATATCTGCTGGATAATTGAGAGTGTGAGTGAATGTGCATAAAGTTAGAAATATTTAACTGACTCTAGATGCATTCATTGCTATTGAAAATATGAAATTTAATCAAAAGAAAGGCAGGATTCAAGATTAAATAACAAGTAAAATAACAAAAACAACAAAATTAATAATGAATATATTATTTCGGAGAATTGTGGCTATGAGCAATAGAAAATTTTACAGGGCATAATGAATATTAAGAATGTTCATGTATGAATGAGCTTGGATTGAAAGATGAATAATGTATAATACGTACATTATATTATATGGTATGGTTTGTCAGTTTCTCTAACAAAACCCCTTGAGAATCCAAGAAAAGCACTTACAAAGGCAAAATTAGTACAACTCATATGTCTAAATAGGGTGTCCAAATTGAGATAAGAGGAATCTGTAAATAACTTTTAAACTTATGATTGACTTTCATACAATTTTAGAAATCCCATTTTAGAATCATTGAAATAGAAAATTACCTCCATTGCTTGATTATCCAGTTGTGTTATGATCTTCCTAAGATCACAAGCTCAATCCACCAACAAAATCAAAAAATGCAGAAAGGAAACCAACTGTAGAATTTATTGATATCAAAGTCCTTTATTACAACTACTGATACTACAACTATGGAACCTACTGCTACGCCATTAATGATCTGCAAGGAAAAGAAGAAGAAGTAGAAGAAGAAGACTGACAAGAGAAGAATCTGGATCGAAGAAGAGAGAAGGAAGCAGAGAAGAGAATTGGTGTGACTCTTATTTTTCAGTTATTCCTCTCTCTCTTTCAGCAAGACTACTTATAACAACCTCCACCAACAACCTGTACCCATGTGTCATAATCCTCACCCTCAACTTTCATTAATCAACTTTCAATCTCATCCGTTCATTTTATATTTCTGTTAACCTTCTCATTTCCTGTTATTGCCAGATTCAAGGATCGAATCCCTGCAACCCACACTTTTATACCTTTAACTGCAGTTCATAACATTCCCTTCCCCATCAAAGCATCCTTGACCTCAAGGATTAGAATCGAAACCAGGAAACTTCGCCTTCAAAAAATCATAATCCTCCCAAGTGGCATCCTCCGGTGGAAAATTAGACCACTGAACCAAAACCCGAACAGCAGCCACATTGTTTCGTTTGACCATCTGCCGCTGCAGAATTGGCACTGGCTTAACCAAAAACTGTCCGTCGTCATTTGTATAAGGCAATTCTAACTGTATAACCACTCGATTTCCGACCTTCTTCTTTAACAACGAAACATGAAAAACTGGATGAATCTTAGAATGCAAAGGTAGAGCTAATTTATAAGCCAACAATCCAATTCTTTCGACTATCAAATAAGGACCGTAATATTTAGAACTGAGCTTCAAATTTCGTCTCAAGGCGATGGAAGTCTGCCGATATGGTTGAAGCTTTAAGTAAACCCAATCTCCCACTAGAAACTCACGCTCGGTCCTTTTCTTATCCGCGAAAAACTTCATTCTAGCTTGGGCAGTATCTAGATTGTCTTTCAACAATTGAAGAAATTGTTGTCGATGCATCACTGCGTCTTCTGCTGCCTGTACTACTGTCTCCAAAAGAGGTCCAATTGAAAGTTGAGGCGGAGTATAACCATACAACGCTTCGAATGGAGTACATCGCAGACCCGTGTGGAAGTTGGTGTTATACCACCACTCTGCAACAGGTAGCCATTGTTTCCACTACGTAGGCCTGCTTGTAGTCATACATCAAAGGTAATTTTCCAGACACCTATTGACTCTCTCAGTTTGTCCATCACTATGAGGATGATAGTCCGAACTATAGTGCAATTGTGTACCCATTAGTTTGAACATTTCCTGCCAGAACTTACTCAAAAATACCTAGTCTCTGTCAGACACAATACTGTCGGGAGTACCATGTAACCTATGAATATGTCTCCAATATAACTCAGCTACTGTCAGAGCAGTATACGAATGAGACATAGCTATAAAATGGGCATACTTGGTAAACCGATCTACCACCACCAATATCACGCTTTTAGCTTTCGACTTCGGCAAACCTTCTATAAAGTCCATGCTAATATTACTCCACGCTTAATTAGGAATTGGCAATGGCTGAAGTAAACCGGGATAGGCTGCATTGTCGTCCTTGTTACAATGGCAAACCTCACACTGAGCTACATATTCATTCACCATAGCTCTCATTCTTGGCCAATAGAAATATTGAGTTAACCTTTTGAAAGTGCCCAATTGGCCCGAATGTCCACCCAAAGGAGTGTCATGAAAAGTAGAAATTAGTTGTTGTCGTAAAGGACCTTTGGAACCCACATAAATCTTGCCTTTCTTCCTTAAAACCCCATTGACGTTATGCCACAAACTAGGCCCGTGAACATCTACTGATATCAAGGTTAGCAGCTCTTGAACATAAGGATCCTCCGTATAATTGTGCATAATTTTTTGTATCCACATTGACGTAATCATACTCACAGCCATCAGTAAACCTGCCGAAGACTTTTCACTCCCTTGTAACCTTTCTTCCTTAAAACCCCATTGACGTTATGCCACAAACTAGGCTCGTGAACATCTACTGATATCAAGGTTAGCAGCTCTTGAACATAAGGATCCTCCGTATAACTGTGCATAATTTTTTGTATCCACATTGACGTAATCATACGCACAGCTATCAGTAAACCTGCCGAAGACTTTTCACTCCCTTGTAACCTTTCGTCTCGCCTGGATAGAGCATCTGCTACCCCATTCTCCGCTCCTTTTTTGTATCGCACCTCATAATCAAGGCCTAATAATTTCGTTAATCCTTTTTGTTGTATAGCTGATGTTACTCGTTGTTCCAACAGATATTTCAAACTGTGATGATCATTCTTGACCACAAAGTGTTTGAACTGTAAATAATGTCTCCATTTATCCACTGCGTTAAGTAGAGCCATATACTCCTTCTCATAAATCGACTTGCCCCTATGTTTAGGAGCCAATACTTTGCTAAAGAAAGCAATTGGCCTCCCTTGCTGCATAAGTACAACTCCAATACCCCCATGACTAGCATCAGTCTCTACCACAAACTCTTGGGTATAGTCAGGAAGAGCCAATACAGGTGTAGTCTTCATAGCTATTTTAAGAGCTTCAAAGGCAGTTTCGGCATCCACACTCCATTTGAAGGCTTCATTTTTTAACAAATCAGCAAGTGGCCTGCTGATGGTCCCATAATTTTGCACATACTTCCGATAGTAACCTGTTAGCCCAAGAAATCCTCTTAGAGCCCGTAAGGTCTTAGGTTTAGGCCATTCTATCATAGCTCGAATCTTGTGAGGATCGGTAGACACCCCTTCCTTAGTAATAACATGGCCTAAGTACTCCACTTGAGCTTGCCCAAAATAACATTTACACTTCTTTGCAAACAACACATTAAGCCTCAAAGTTTCAAATACCACCTTCAGATGCTGTAAATGCTCCTCCATATTTCGGCTATAGATTAATATATCATCGAAAAAGACTAGAACAAATCTTCTGAGAAACGATCTAAAAATCTGATTCATTAATGCTTGAAATGTTGCTGGAGCATTGGTAAGTCCGAAAGGCATTACTCTACACTCATAATGGCCCACGTGAGTCCGTAATGCCGTCTTGTGCACATCTTCCATCTTCATCCTAATTTGATGATAACCAGCCCTCAAATCTACCTTAGAAAAGATTGACGCCCCATTTAGTTCATCCAACAAATCATCGACTATAGGTATGGGATACTTTTATTTAATGGTCAAGTCATTCAATCCTCTATAATCGACACAAAACCTCCATGTTCCATCCTTTTTCTTTACTAACAATGCTGGTGAAGAATAAGGCGATTGACTAGCCTGTATGATTCCACTACTGAGCATCTCTTTCACCTGCTTCTCCAACTCATTCTTTTGATGGAAATTATATCTATAGGGCCTTAGACTAACAGGCATAGCTCCCGGCTTAAGAGGTATCGCATGGTCAAACAGTCTTGCCGGTGGCAGTGACTTCGGTTCTACAAAAATATCAGCATATTTAACCAACACATTTTGAAGTCCATCATCGATTACCTCCTCCTCACTGTTTGTCATCATGTTCATCATAAAAATATGAGCAACTATAGCTTGACCCTTTTTCAACATCTTTTTCATTGATCCACTAGATAGCATACTCAAACTTCCCTCACCTGCAATTCCCGGCAGCACTAATTTATTAGCTTTCCTGCCTATAGTAACACACTTCCGCTCATGATCAAACTTAGTCGGATTATGTTTCTTCATCCAATCATTTACTAACACCAATGCCCAACCACCCAAGGAAATAATGAGCAAATCTTCTATGAAAATTCTACCCTGCATTTTCCACGAAAATCCTTTACAGTGAGAGTTGCACATTACGTAATTACCATCTGCCACTGTCACTCGTACAGGAGAACATGGATGAGGTTGGTAGCCTGATGCGACTACGGTATGCTTATCAATGAAGCTATGAGTGCTTCCGGAATCAATTAAAATTGCAGTTGTCACTTCTTTACAGTTCCCCCGACAAGAATTGTATTCTCTCCTTTGTTATGACCAGTTAATGCATTAAGACACACAGCTTGTTGTACCTTTTGTTTGACTACTCCTTCAATGGTTATCTCTTCCATGTCTTCCAATACTGACATCTGATCAACTTCCCTTTCCTTCTCAACGAATCCAGTTAAATAATTCAATTGTCTCGTTTTGCATATATGTCCCGGCCCATATTTCTCTCCACAACGGAAACACAAGTGATTCGACTTCCTAAACCTGTAAACTTCAGGAGTAAGTCGGTAAGGCCCATTCCGGTTAACCATCACATTAGATGCTTTCCTACTTCCTGCACAGCTGCCGACAACACTCGATTCACTGTTCTATTCCTCCTTCGTGCAGCTTCAATAGCCATTTCCTTCATCCTCGCTTTCTCTACCGCTTCTTTCAACGTCCTCAGTTTGAACATTTTAACCTCAAATCTAATTTCCTCCTTCAAAGCTCCAATAAAACTAGATAAGAAATGAGCTTCGTTCAAAGCCGGATTTCGTATAAGCATTTGAGCTTTAAGATCTTCAAATCTCCCTAAAAACTCATCCACAGTACCAATTTGTTGTAGCTTATTAAACTCTTCCACCACATCACTTACTACAATTTCTCCAAACCTGCTGATTAAATCCTCTTTAAACTCAATCCAATTCGGTATTCCTCCGCTTAACACCATCGACTGATACCATACTTCAGCAACATAATTCAAGTATAAAGCATCCATTTCTACCCTCTGTTCATTACCTACTCTGTACTGTGTAAAAAAATCTCTCACACTTTCGAATCCACACCTTCGGCTCCTGACCTGCGAAACTAGGTAAATCCCACCTCGGTAACGTCACTGCATTCGGATGAACTCTATTGTGATTATCCCTATTCGGAATAGGTAGTAAGCCTACTCCCACATTCGAAACCACCGAAGCTCTTTCCAACACTCCTAATCTCTTCAAAATTAAATCTAATGCTCCTTGAATTCCAGTTTGAGCATTGCGTACTTTCTCTTGTGAATTCATCAGATCGGAGAGCATTTCATTGTGCCTTGTTATCTTATCCTCTGTAATCTTCCAGCGTGTGCCCTCAGCCATTACACAGGTTCGAAGGATCTGATACCAAGTGTTATGATCTTCCTAAGATCACAAGCTCAATCCACCAGCAAAATCAAAAAATGTAGAAAGGAAACCAACTGAAGAATTTATTGATATCAAAGTCCTTTATTACAACTACTGATACTACAACTATGGAACCTACTGCTACGCCATTGATGATCTGCAAGGAAAAGAAGAAGTAGAAGAAGAAGAAGAAGAAGAAGACTGAGAAGAGAAGAATCTGGATCGAAAAAAAGAGAAGGAAGCAGAGAAGAGAATTGGTGTGACTATTATTTTTCAGTTATTCCTCTCTCTCTTCCAGCAAGACTACTTATAACAACCTCCACCAACAACCTGTACCCACGTGTCATAATCCTCACCCTCAACTTTCATTAATCAACTTTCAATCTCATCCGTTCATTTTTTATTTCTGTTAACCTTCCCATTTCTTGTTATTGTCATATTCAAGGATCGAATCCCTGCAACCCACACTTTTATACCTTTAACTGCAGTTCATAACAAGTTGTTGCAAAGCCTAGCCTCAATCTTTTCATCAAATCGAAGAAGAAGCTTGAAAGTGGGTTTATCATGAATAGGGAGGAAACGAGCTTCGTCACTTAATTTTGAGGATTGGAATGTGGGTCATATAATGAAGAAGCTTTAATCAGCGGAGATATAGTGTTGATCCTTAGTCAACAACGGTGTGAAGATTAGGGTTTAAAGATTTTACTTTTTGGAAATATATTTATGTACAAAGACCTTTCACCTCCTTAAAAAAGACATTTAACAATTTGAGCGCGCCTTTTGTCCACTAAATTTACTTTTAGGGACTGGTTGTTTAATTAACACAGAGACCAGATTTAGTATAGTCTTAAAAAAGTTATTAAACCTGTCAATTCGGGACTAGAAGTAAGATATGTCCTTATAAGCATACTTTTAAGGACTAGATTTCTAACTCGTCCATATAGGTTGGTCTCTAAAAAGTCTTTTTCTTGTTGGAGGTGGCAGACACGCTCTTGGATTGAGAACACTGATGGTGAAAAAATAATTAATTTATTATGCTTTTTGATAGTTTTGTGGGGTAATAATAGGACCCTCGCAAACTTAAGGCATCTACTTAAGAAAAAGGTATAAGTTTTATGGGGGCAATTATGTATTTCTTCTAAAACACATATTCAAAAATATTGATATATGAATCATTTATGAATGTCAACTTATATCAATAAATCATATATTATATAATATATTAATAATATTAAAGGTTAATTAATTATTAAAAAATAATTAGTTTGGTGCTTTGAAATCATATATACAAATAGAAAGTGAATGATATTTAAAAAATTAAACAATAATTTCTCTTTCTTACCAACCTTTTTTTGTCAACATTACAAATTTATTTGAATATTTTTATGAAACAATG